TTGTTGAGGCTCAGGTTTCTTCCTCTGTCTCTGCAGCTCTCTGGGCACCTCGATGGACCAGTCACCAATAATCCACACTGTGTCTATGGGAGAAATACAAAGGTGTTCAATTAATACCTCAGACAACACAAAATGTACAGTTAACTACATGTGACAGCTCAGGGTGTTTTTTTGTTATGAGCCACATCTGAAGGAATAATATTGAACAAGGTAGCTGCAACTCATAATAATAGATGCCAGTCTTAAACACTGTTTTTTCTAATACTTAGTTTTTGGTGTGAAGCTGACACTGTCCACAGACTCCATGACTTCACGGGGTTCAATAGAAAACAAATGTCTTATAATAAATACTATATAATTATTTTTCAATTGTCATGTTCACCTCATCGCTGTTGACATCAGTAAATGTAAGACACAGACATTTTTTGTCAGAACAGTAACATGAACTGTATGCTTTGTAATATTGATTTCTTCTGGATGTCTCATATTTATTTACAGTCTATGGATAAAACTTTGTTAATGTATTTCTCTGCTAACACTGACAAAGTCAAACTGCTCTGACAAATAACTAATAACCATGATTGTATATTTAAAAAAGTGTAGTTTTAAGACTTTAATTAAATATTTGGGTTGAATATAATTTGTTTTAACTGTGTTGTAGAAAAGTTAAATGTTAACTTACTGTTTGGAGAGTTTTCTCAGGACGAGCAGGAATAGGGGATGATAGCAGCCTAGCTGTTAGCTATGCTGTCAAGTGGACTGCTAATGTCGAGCTGAATGGGCGGAGTTAAGTCCCGCCGGTCCCGCCTTACTGCTGTTGTTAGGTTGATCCGAAGTTAGGTTGAAACTGCAAATCCAATATGGATGCGGCCGTCGATTGGACTCATTTTCTGCCTATGTCACAGACGGGTCAGGGTTCGTCCAGTAATATTTACAGTCTATGGCACTGACCCTTGAGGTACCCCTGTGGATAAGCTATTTCAATTCACAGCAGATTGACAGTTCCAGAGGCCAAAAGTAAATAAAGGGTGGGAAGAAGAGGTTTTCTTAAGCAGAGACAAGTTGTTAAGATTTCGTTGTCTATGACAGATGTGTCTTTTCCTGTTCCCATGAATGACAGAGATTTCTTTGTAGCACATGTTGCATTTAGCAGATGACCAGAGAAAATAGGCAAAGCAGTAGTCGTGGATGCCCGGGCTCTGTGGCCACGTTGAAGCGCCAGAGGTTGTTCTGCTGCAGTTTCGGATTCAGACTCTTGTGAAAATCCCGCCCCAGATTTTCAGCTTGCAATCAACAGAGGGTGTGACACGCATCAACTGCCTCTCCTGTTGATGCTCAGATAATGAAACTTAAGTGCTCAGTCCAAACAAAGCCTGACAACGACCCACTATCAATGTCTACTCAAAGCAAGTTTCGATTCACCCACCTAGCTGACAAGACCTTCCTAGTTTTCAGATCAGAGGCAGCTTTGGGTCTTCATTAAATACCTCGAGTTCTTCATTTCAAGCCTTTTGTTGATTCATTTATTACTGGTTTAAAATAATGTAATTCAGATATTCTTGCTGGGTTCAGATGATATTCTACATTATATTATTTATACATTGTGGCTAAAGAAAGAAATAACTGTTTGTTCTAGTGTGCTAGAACAAAAATTAAAAGTGGTATTTTAAGAATATAAAGATAATTTCATTTATTGTTAACGTCTAAAAAAGCCAATTAAGAGGAGCAAGGCGCTCAAATGAAAGATCTAGGAGATATTGTTATGATGCTAGAAACACTTTTATCCATAATGTAACGTGAGAAATTAGTCAAATGATTTAAATCCCATACCTTCTTTTCCTCTCATAAATCAGCCAGAAGAGGAGTCAAAATTATGATAAGGAACCATTCCATTTGAGTCAAATGAATGGAGAATATATACTTCATGTATATAACCACCTTGAGTAAAGTTAAGGGTCAACTGTACTTAATGTATTCATTCATGAACAGATAGGGTCTCAAAGTAGTATCAAATACAAAGCCCAAAAGAACACACTGTTGATGAGATCATTTGAGACATTGGATTAGTGGATGTATGGTGAACTTCGAACTCCCTGGTGGTCTAGTGGTTAGGATTCGGCGCTCTCACCGCCGCGGCCCGGGTTTGATTCCCTGTCAGGGAACTACTTTTGGGACGGCAGCAGCTCAGTCTGTAGTGACTTGGGAAGCGGAGGGTCTCCGGTTCAAGTCCTGGCACGGACCAAGTCTGGAAGTTGGTCTGGTAGCTGGAGAGGTGCCAGTCCACTTCCTGAGCACTGCTGAGGTGCCCTTGAGCAAGGCACCAAACCCCAAAACTGCTCTGGAGCGCTCGCTGTGGGCAGCCCCCTCACTCTGAGGCCTCTCCATTAGTGCATGTCCACAGGATTCTGTTTGTGCATGTTTGTGTTCATGTTCATTAAACAGTGTAAAACTGAATTTCCCCTCACGGGATTAACCCTTATGTTGTCCTGGGGTCAATCTGACCCCAAATTCAATCTTTTGCCATCAAATATGTTTTTTATTCATCAAATGGTCTGAAAATAATGGGGGTTGTTCAGTACTACGCTCTTCATGATTACAGTCAATTTGAGGTAATTTGATTGAATTATGTTTTTTTTTATTGAATTTACTGACGTGTGTTGTCCTCTGGGGTCAAAATGACCCTGCAGCACAAAGTGGTGTATTGGAGCAAATGATCACACCATACTGCTTTCCAAATAATCTTTGATCTTGGATGTTTGATGTCTGGGGTCAAGCAATAGTTATGACAACAACAAAAAAACTCAGTTTCCTGCACTAGTGAGGTCTTTGACTGCATTAGTTTACGAGTAGAGAGTTGAAAGATTTACTAGTAAACTAGTAGACAGCAAATATTCTTCATGTTAACTAGTAAGGTGCAAAATATCTACTTGTTAACTAGTGAGGCTCGGTATGGCCAGTCCTTTAACATTAAATGAGTCTGGCTGACAAGTGGCAATTTAGTTTTCACTATTGGAATTTACACCTCAACATGTCAAAATGTCATTTTGGTCAACATATCAATAATGTAATTTCAACTAGTAAGAATTGCATTTTAGATATCTAGAATTAATTTGTGATATTTGTAATGCAAGAACAATTGTAGATATCATAAATGAACTTTGTCACTCAAATAATTACATTTTTGATATCAAGAATGAACATTTTTAGTGAGAATTGAGTTGAAAATTATATTGTGGATATGTCGGCTTGGAATTCTAACATGTCAAAAAGCAATTATTGATATCTGCAATTTCTTAATGATTTAATGTTAAAAGGGCGTGCCATAGGCTCGGAAATGTTTACTAGTTAATTAGTAGTAGCTAAAATGTCAATTAGTCACACTAGGGGGAACAGTTTTCACCTTACTAGTTTACTAGTAAAGCCCCATTCAGTTTACTACTAAAGGAATAAGTGCCTCGATGTCCACTAATTAAAATAGTAGGTATCTTTTTGGCCTCTGCAGCAGCTCCCCAACACCCAGCAGCCCCTCCTGGCCCATCACCCAAAAAACAGGTGCAAATTCTGCCCTCACCAGAGTGATCTCAAAACATTGGAAATGTGCCAAAAATGCAGTGCATATACAGATCATGCCATTACTACCTGCCTCGCATGCAGACATGTAAATGAGGTCTTATTGGCCTTAAATCTCAAATGGAATAAAAAAAAAAAAAAAATGGTGCTAATGTGTTTGAATGAAGTTGTTTCTAGAGGTGTAACACAGAATTTGGTTTAAAAATCCACTTTATATTCTTTAAATTACAGTCAAACCGCACGGGCTCAATTTGACCCCGGAGGGCAGCAGGTGTTATTATTTCCTGCCATTCAAAAAAATTCAAATGATTCAAACACAGCATCTTCACTAAACTTATACTTAGAAATAGACATATACCACTCTGTGATAAATCAAACAGTCAAAATGATATAAATTAAAAATATATTTTTTTACACTCAAAATAAGGGTATACTTTTATGTAAACAAGGTCTATTGGCCCTAAAAAAATGCATGGTAATGGGTTGGACTGAAGTCAGACTAAAGGTGTAACACAGAATTGATTTAATTAATTTATGTTATATGACTTAAATTACAGTCAAACCGGGCGGGGTCATTTTGACCCCAGAGAACAGGTGGTGTATTGCAATCGGGAGGACAACACGAGGGTTAATAAAGTATACATTATTATTATTATTATTTAAATCCAACTTGAAAGGATTACACTTTTTTCTTCAGCTTCAGGAAACTATTCAAGACTAGATTCTTTTTTACTTTTTCCAAAGACCTACCCTAACTTCAAAATCTACAAATAGGGCAAAGAAAATGTATTTTGTTTAAAAAAAATCATTTAGAATGAAATGAAGAAGTGTATTACAAGACTTACAAGAAAATAAATCATGATACATATGAAATAAATCCAGTAATATTATGGGAAAGGTCTAAGATTGTACTAAGAGGTGAGTAATAGTCTACGCAGCTTTTAGGAAAAAACAAAAAGGACTATGCAACAAAACACTTTCAAATCGAAAATTAAGGACTTAGAAAAAGTAGATAAAACAACAGGGGACCTTAGTCCTGAAAATCCTTTAAGAGGCTTGAGCAGCAATGTATAACCTCTTTAACATGGAAGTTGAAAAAACAGTCCATCACAAGACAAAGTACATATGATGGAGGAGCCAGAACAGCTAAGGCTTACAAACTCAAAAAACAGCAAAAGGTATCAGTTGTGCAGCTTCAGGAAACAAATAGAAAGATATGAATAAGTGGCCACTAAAAGAGAGCAAATCAGTTTTCTAAATATGATCAGGAACCTTATGATGCTGCTCTAAACTCTGTGAAGTAAGTTACAATCAAGCAGTTTTTCCAAAAGCTAAACTTACATAAATTACAGAACAGAATAAAATCCTTCTGAGGAGGAGATCTAAGATCATATCATATAAACACACAAGTCTCCAGGAGGACTAGCAGAAATTGTACCACATCTGAAACATCCAGATCAGTTTTGATTTATTAGTCAAAGACAGCTTGCTGACAATGTGAGACAAACAATAAACATCAGAAGCTTATTCCATAAGGTCCTTTGTCCATATCTGTTTGAAACCTGAAGTAAATGTGGCCTTCACACCATTTTTATAAACTGATTGAAAGCTATGTACAAGCAGCGAAATGGAGTAATGTCTGATATTTTGAAGATTTAAAAAGGCACCACACAAGGGGAAACATTGATCTTCGTTCTAAGTATTGAACCGCTGGCAGAATATATTCAGGTGTAAGATCAAATAAAAGGCATAGCTGTCACAGCTGATGATATTTAAATTATTGTCTATAAGCCTGAACAGTCCGTTGAAGTTTTCATTTAGGTAGTTGATTTTGGAGTCGTTTCAGGGAACACATTAAATATAATTAAGTGAGGGGTCATGTTCTGTACAATCAGTGATTTATGAAATCAAACAGAAATATACATTTCATCAGGATGTCGAGAGGATCAAATATTGTGGGATGAGCATTACAAAGAATTTCAGAAATGTATACTTCAATTGTTTGGAGAATAATGAAGATTTTTATTCATGTTTAAAACACTACCAATCAATATAGTTTACAGTTTGATTAAAGAATGGGATTCTAGTATTACTAAATGTATCTGGAATGGAAGGAAACCAACAATACAAATGAAATACCTCACTATGAAAAGAGAACGATAGACTAGACTTACTAAATCTGCAAACAAGCAAGCAGCTCAAATTAGAAATACTTAACTGTGAATGAGCCCCTGTATTAAATGGAGATGGAATTAATTAGCAGATATTTTCCATTAAGTCTTCCTTTTCTTTAAATATCAAAGACCATACATTAAAGATACATTAGATAATACATGGGTAGTTGCTACACCCAAGCTTTGGATGGAAGTTTGCCAGAATCAGAAAATATATGAAGAATTAATTCTCTTAGCAATGGATCCAGACTTTCCTCCAAGCAAAATTGATCAGACTAAAGGTCTATGTAAATATGGACAAATGTTTGGAAATAAAGAAACAGTATATTTAACAATTATCTGTACAGTATGGTCTACCCAACTCTCATTTAAATTCTTTCAAGTGAGAAGTTACCTTGCTGAAAAAAATAAAATAAAAGATCAATTCAAGATATAAGTCCATTGGTAAAATGTTTGATAAATGTATGACTGCAGGTCTGACACAAAACTTTCAGCTAAGTTAAGTTTGTCCTGTGCTGTCATTTTCTCTCTATGCTCTCTAAATGTCATACATTCAAAAGCCTTCCAAGCACACAAAGCAGTGCTGGGTTGCAGCCAACATATCTGCAGTGTTTGGGTCTAAGGAACTTTGTGTCAATATGTTCCAGCATACAGCCAATGCCTGCTGAAACACTTGTCCAATGCTACAAGAACTATACAAGCCCAAACCAGAACACTTCTGTCAGGACTCTGCTCTTATATGTTATGGTATCTGATAACAGAGGTGAGCTCTCAAGTGATGTGCTTTATTGTCTTACACCAAATACAAAATTTGTCAGGAGGAATGCAAGAAATGACTTACAGCTAGCTTTCTTCTTTTCCACTATAATTGGTAAAACCTCAACATACCAACTTTTTCAGTGATAAATCTTTGACAAAGTGACATTCAGGGGTACCAATGTGCTCTCAGCCAATAGAATGATCAGTTTTAATAGTGCTACAATCAAACATGGCAAAAGTAGGAAACAATTTCCTGAGAGAAGTGGAAAGCAATAGATAAACAGGAGGGTGTTGACTTGGAAACTGGAATGAAAAGAAATAACACAAATGTTTAATTTAATGTGTTGTAAATAATGTTTAGTCATCTCAAGCCATGAGCAGGCGATGAACTTTCTGCAGTTGCTGCTGTGATAGGACAAGGCGGTGAACTTGCTCCTGTCCACGGATGCATGGAATAGCAACTCGTCCTACAAATACAGTTCCTCCCTGTTTTTCTTCTTTGGCCTAGAAAACAACACAAAGTGTTTGTGTTGTAAACAAGCATTCAACTCATCTGACTTAAAATAAATTAATCTGTCACAACTGGTTCTGTGTGGTTTTACCTTAACAAAGGATGAGACTGGGAAGGTGGCGAAGTCGGAGGTAGCCTTTGCACCAGGCTGGTATGAAACCACATGTTCAGCAACCTCTCCCTGAAACACAAGATTTCAAACGTTTGGTTTTGTACCATGCTCAGCTCATTGAAATAGTAAGAAGGACATTGTCACCTTCAGTTTAACCAGGGCATCACTGAGATTCTGTAGACGGGCCGTCTGCTCCAGCAGCTGGGAGCTGGCACTTACTGAAAGAAAGAAGAAGAAACATGAACAACTTCATTCAGCTGTGAACAGAAGGAACCACAAACAGGAGAAAGAAGTGGAAAAATGAGAAACCTGCTGTCTTCCCCGTGACATCTATTACTTTAACCTCTGCACTCAGCTTCAGCAGGGTTGCGAGTAGCTGGTCAGTCCTGCGATAGATGCCCGTGTTTAGACCATCTGGTGGCATGGAGCTTTCTTTGGACATGTGTGGTAGTTTAGGAGGACACAGTGGAGGAAGGGAGGCTAGCTGGGCTCTCATCTTCTCAGCCTGTAAGTCAGATGTAATGTAGGTTAGTATCACAAAGGTCTGGACTTCTCGTGTAATAACACCAGGACCTGTGTACCTTTAGTCTGTTGTTTTCATTCTTGAGCTGTTTAATGCCCAGTCTCTGAGCCTCAACTTGCTTCCTGAGGAGAGGGGAGTCCACCACCTGTACTGGTCCTGCCAAGGATGGAGACAGACCTGCTGAGAAGGGAAGAATATGCTTCTGTGATGTTTTTTTATTTCATAGAATTTGGAGACGGTTTTTGTGATTCCAAAACTTTGGTTAGTGTCAGGTGTCAGTAATACACACACTGCTGTTGCAGAACAACAATTTCACCAGTCATGGTCAGACATTCCCCATAACACGCTGTTTGACATGTTTTTTTCCCCCAGGCAGTTATATCACAACCTCTTATCAAACACAAAATGACAAAGTCATGTACCTCCTGCAGATCCCTGTACAATGGAGGCGATTCCAGAAGATTGAGGGCTTCTTAGTCCTTCGATGGTCATCTTAGATTGGTTATTAATACGTTGTTTCAGCTCTGCTTTCTCTGCCTCCAGCTGGTCAATATCTGCCTGCAGAGCATCCATTGTCTCCTCAAACTCCCTTAGAAATGGAAGAAAGGCATGCACCAGGAAAATAAAAAACAACAAAAAAAGGTCAGGAAAATGTTTTTTTTTTTTTTTTTTTTTTAAAGAGAATGTGAACTTTGTCGCCTAAGTTTTTATTGATCTTACTTTTCTTTCTTCTTTAACAAGGCAAGGTTCTCATCCAGCTTGGTCTGAATTTTCTCCACCCGTTCATCTGCATCTTTGGTGGACGTGTCGAGCTTCTTCTCCAGCAGACTCAGTCGCACATTTGCCTCACTCAGTTCCTCCCCCTGGTGCAAAGACAAACAGACAGAAAGTGTTCTGTATACCATTATTGGCATTTGAAAATGGCGGTCATTTCGTTAACTCGTTACTTGGCACAAAAAGGTGAAATAATGCTCATCAAAGGTGTTTCCTTGAATATGTCACCTTGATTTTGAGGGACCTCTTGAGCTCCTTGATAACAGTCTCTCTATCCTCAAGTTTCACTCCAAGACCCTCGGCGTCCGTCATCTCTGCCCTGACGGTGGACGCCCTGATCTCCACAGGAGGAGTCTGAGGGCATGAAGACAAATGAGCAGGGACTCTAATAAATTATGTGATTAATCATTGGAAATGAGTTATTGATTAAAAATACCTTGGCCTGTGGTCTGTCAGCATCGTACTCTCCTTCCTGCATGGCCGTGGCCAACTTGTTCATGGCAGCAATGACAGAGCTGCATGACTGACGCAGACAGTCTGGACCGTTCACACCATGAGAGCCATACACCTTGGATAAAAAAAAAAAGTGTAGATTGTTTCAATCCATTGACAGAGCTGCTGCCTGAAACAAACCAGCTAAGACTAGTTGTCCTAAAACAACATTAAAAAGTATAAACAGAAAAGAAGAATAATGTTTCAAAAGATCAATCTGTCTGTGTCAAACAAAACCTTATACTGGAATTTATTTAAAAACAATGTACTCCTTATATGGTTTATCATTTGTTTACACTTTAACTACCTGCTCCACAGCCTTGCAAGCTATGTCTTCCAATTTCAGAGCGTTAAGCCCCTCCTGTTCCGCCAGAGTAGAAACCATCTGAGCTCCTGCTGCAGCCACCTCCTGCAGCACAGCTACCACTCGGGACTGCTGGCGCCTACACTCCATTAAAGCTTCAGACACCTCCAAGACAAAATATGTCAATCACATTGGTACCACAGAGATAGATTTTTGGTAACATTTTGTTATGGTGTGACATAAAGTACATTATGGCAAGTTGACAAGTTGACTTAATCATACCTGTAGTCCATAATGAAGAGCTACTGGTACTCCCACTACATCTGTTCCTGGCATGCGGCGGCGGATCTTTTTGCAGAACTGTTTGATATCAGAGCAGGAAGTGTCCAGGTCTTTGAGAAGAACACTAAGGCCAGCGCTCTCCTGACCTGCTGCCAGAAACGATCGCAGACGAGCTACCTCGACTCCCATGCAGTCCAGTGCACTCTGGGTAAACTGGATGGACATGTGAAGTTAGAAACCGCTCTACTACATTTTCATTCAACTTTAACTTAAAGACATGTTTTAAATGATTATCAATGAAAGGTTCAATGTATTTATTATTATTACATATACAACTTATTATTAGTCACATTGTTTTTTTTTACTTGTTTGTAGAAACAAAGCTGTAATGAAGCAATTCTTTTACTGTTTGCCAGGATAAAAAAATACCTTTATGTGGTCGGCCAGCTGAACTGTGCAGTCTTCGGTGTGATCTGCCAGATGGACACTGTACAGTTGCTGAAGGATGACGCAGTGAGAAAAGTATACATTTGGGGATTATCATGTCATAATTGATTGTAGTTTTTCAAAATAAAAAAAGAACGGGCTGTGAGAACTCAAAAACATCAAACTAGTCTACCCAAACAATATTTAGAAGTATCTTTTAATTTTAGGAAATCTGAGAATAAATAACTTTGATTGATTTGAAGTTTAAAAGACAAACATAACCTTTTACATAAAAACAAAATATGTTGCTACCTGATAGTACTTGATGGCCTTGGTGAGAGGTTCAACCTGAACAGTCTCATCGAGTTGATCTTTATGCAGCAGGTCAATGAAATAATCCAGAGAGCGTTCATGGAAGCTCATTTCAGAGTAGAGTGTACCCATGCGTTTGAAAACATCCACGCTGCAATCATTCAGAGCCCTAGAAGAAGAGCAGGGAAACGGTTTAAGAGCTAGATGGTCTACTGTTTTAAAGAAAATAAGAATGAAGAATAATTATTTATAGTTTTCTGACAACAAATTGTATTTCATTTCTAAATGATGATTACTGTTCATATTTGTGCAGAGTAGCCTGTAGCAAGCCCAGGGAGTAGACCAGTCCGGAGGCAAAGCTGCACTGCTCTCCAGGAGGCCCTCTGAGACCAGATCCCTGGGCCATCTTCCCATTTAGGTCAAACTTCTCCTGGGCCTGTTTACTGATGAGCTCAGCCTACCAGTTAAAAAAAAAGAAACGAATAATAATAATGGATAGGAGTTGTACCCTTCTGTCCCACACACACGCACACGCACACGCACACGCACACGCACACGCACACGCACACACCTTACAGATGAGCCTCGGGATGAGCAGGAGGACCAGAATACAGTCGTGATCTCCACCATGACGGAGGAAGGAGTCTGGCATGAAGGAGGTGAGTAGGGATACCTGTCTGTTTGACTGAGCAACTTCCATTTTTCTAAGCTCCATCTCAATTGCCTGGTAACACAAAGCAATGACATTCTCAAAGATAAAGAGTACACTCCAATCAGTCAATGAACCATGCATGGAAAGCATATGAAGGTTTCCTACCTTGGCATAGGCCCGGGTCTCTGCAAACTTGATCTTGAAGTCAAATAGTTCTGCGGGAGGTGGGTGAACTTGTTCAGTGTTGGCATTCTGCTGGCTGATCAACTCTCTGTTGGCCTCCTGGTGAGCAGGGGAGAAAAACATAAACACTGTCATTCTTCCCCATTCAGTGTATATGCACTGACTATATTCCTAACGGCCAAATTCCACCAGATGTGTTCAGTCCGTCTCCACTCCGTTACAGCAGCTTTATTTATTTATCTTTTTATACCCTAACCCGTAGCAGATATACAAGGCTTCTTCTGTTGCCGGATGCCGGAGCACGGTGCATCAATTTACCACAGAAAAGATCGAGCGGGACAGGAAGTCAGACACTGAAACAACAGTAAAACATCCTTTCAGAATAAAAGGCTCTGTCTGGACGGTTCAGAACATGTGTGCTTGTTTTTGTGTTTTAAATGGTTTTATACCACGTACATCGTATTGTCTCGCATTATCTCCTTTGTCTCTGCACTCCGGCTGTGCTCCCACTGAAAATGCAGCCTTTGGGTGATGACAGATGAGGGTGCACGGAGCCGTAAGGGACAGGAGTGGACATGTATCTGGTGGAAGTTCTGTGTAAGAATACATGTTCCTCTCCACTTCACCCACCTGTAGTCCAGTGGTCAGCTCTCTGTACTTGTTGATGGTCTGCTGGTAATCAGCCACAGTCTCCTGGGCAGCCTCCACCCTTTTGTCAGCCTCTCTGACCTTTGCTGAACCCAGGTCCAACTGCTCTCTTAGTTCCATTTCTGTTTCCCGGGCGTTCTCCTGGAGTTCATCATTCATCTCGTTTATAGCCTCCTGTGATCACAGGCTTCAATTAGAGTCTTACAACTTAGGACAACATCAGGACAATATCAACACTTCTGCTCTACAGTAGCTGTCATTCTGTTTTTTTTTTTTAATTCAAACTTCCACAAATGTTCTTGGAAGAAGTTCATTGTGTAGTTGTAGTTGTGTAAGTTGTACAGACCAGATCAGTCACTGTTTCTCTCAGCTCTCGGACTTTCTCCTCTAGGTCAAGGTTCCTCTCTGTTAAGGTCTCCACCATCTCCTCTGACCCGAGAGCAGCATCCACCTGTTTCAAGAGCATGAACACAAATAAAGTTATACTCTGTGTATGGCTGTCAGCGTTTAGAACTTCATTTCAGGCCTAAAGTACATAGTGATTCATTTTCAAGAATCACATGAACAGCATTCCATTTTGTTCTGAAAAGCGTACTGCAATCTTCCTGCTCTCTTGGTGATGGAATAACTAATACCCCTGCGTCCTTAGTTTCACTTTAAAATGTCTGTTGACGTGTCAATAAGTTTGAAAAACGTTTGGAAACAGCTTTGGGAGAGCTTGATCCTGATTGCTCCGGTACAACAGTGATCCGTTTATTCCCTCTCCTGCCCTCCAAGTCCTCACACTTTTCTTGTAAATCTTTCTTTTGTTTTTTGAGGTCTTGCACATTCATTTGTACCGACACGCCTCAACAGTTTTTACACGGGCCTTCACCTGATCCATTTGAGCGCTGTGTTGTTAGTCGCTTTTCACAGTCTGCTATAAGAGAAGAACTAAAGACTCCCTCTTATAACAGAGGAGATTTCTTCTCTCCGGGATGGAAGGGTATGAGCGTTGACGGATGAAATGTCCATGATGGATTTGGTGCAGGTGAGGCCTTATCTGGGCTGTCTCTTTGACGAGGAGGCCTTGTGTTGGACGAGCTGTCATACTTGTATTTCCGAAGATTCAATGCCATCCCCGACAATCTCGCTGAGCTTTTACCACACTTTGGCTGAATGTTTGTGCATTATTTCAGATTATAAGCTCCGAGTGTGATGGAAATAACATTAATCAACATGAAGTTTTGAAATTCTGATTTAAAGGAGCAGTATGTAACTCTGACGAGTAGCATTTAAAATTAGTACAGAGAGACCTCCTTCCACCTCCCTCGAGTTGATGTGCACGCATGTGGCAACATGCAATGGCATGTTGCCATTTTGAGGACAGGGAACCTTCCGTTGGTATTTAGCCAGCTCTGCATCAGTCTTGAAACTTGTTTTCTTTATTATTGACATCCAGGGAGCAGAATCAGACTCATACCTGCTCCTTCAGCTCATCAATAGTGGACTCCGCCTGTTTGACCTCTTCCTGAAATTTTTCCTTCTGAGTCCTCAGAGTGTCCAGCTCAGAGTTCTTCTTCTCCATCTGCTTCTGCAGCTTCACATGTTCCTGCTTCTCTGAAGAGGACAGGTCACGCATCCTAAGAGATTTAAGAATAGAGACATTTTTGGAGGGAAGACCAATATGTAGACATCTAAAAGCAACCACAATCAATCAATCAATTTTTATCTGCATAGCGTCAACTCATTACAAGTGATATCTGGAGAGACTTTACAAAAAGCAGTTAAAAGACCTTACTTATTGTTATGATACAAAAAGCAGGTAAAAGACCTTACTCATTGTTATGTTACAAAGACCTGGCCTATCCATCATGAACACTTTAGCAAAGCAGCAAAAGTGGTAAGAAAAAACTGCCTTATTAAAAGGCAGAAATCTTTGGCCGGATCCCCGGCTCATCAATCAATCTAAAGGATACATTCTAAATCAAAAGGAGTTGTTTTAGATATTTAACTGACCGAACCAATGCCTCCTTCAGTCGAGCATTCTGCTCCTCAAGCTGTTTGACGTGATAACTTGATGCAGCTCCATCAGAGCCTGCATGGCAAAGAAAACACACCAAAGAAAGGGAAACCAGAGTAAAAAACTAAACTATTAGATACCTCACAAAAAGAAGATTAGGAGAGCAAAATAAAAAGACAAACCTTTTTCTGAAATCTCATGTCTCAGGATCTCCAGGTCCATCGACAGCTCCTCCACTTTCTCCTTCAAAGTGTCCACCTCCACCTGCAGTGACTCAGCTCGCTCTTCTGCCATCTCTTTGTCCAGTGTGGCCATTTCTATGGCGTCTGCTGTGTCCGACATCTCCTCCATGTAACGGTCCTTGGCCTCCTGTGCCTCACGGGCTTCCTACAGGGAGGATGTACACCATAAAACACGACATGATAACAGTTGGACTATTTCATGTATTCTATAGGCTTAGGCAATATCACTACATATGTATAAAAATGGTTAGAACATAAAGGAAATCATTTGGTACATTTAGTGTAATATTTTTTTATAAAAATACTTTTTAATTAATAAAAATGTATTTATATATATATATATATATATATACACACATATATATATATATATATATATTCTTTTTTTTTTTTTTACCTTCTTTGCCTCTTTGAGTTGTTTCTGCAGTTCAGCCTGTTGCTCCTGCATTTTGTTCTTCCACTCCTGAAGCTGCTCAAGTTGGATTTTGTGTTTCTCGAGCTCCTTCAGCTTGGCCTTGTCCTCGGTCCGCTTCATCTTCAGCGTTTCTAGTTTTTCCTCTAGGTCCTTGACCTGAGCTCGCAATGATTCGTCCTCCTGAGAAGGTGAAGAGGAAAAGCAAGAGAACCATTTAAATGTGCTTCATCTGGATCATGGGTCCCATTTTATTTTATTTTTTTTAAGTTTCATGTTTGGGCTTTTTGTGCCTTTAATGGAGAGATAGGTCAGTGGACAGAGTCAGAAATCAGGGAGAGAGAGAGAGAGAGAGAGAGTGGGGAACGACACGAGGGAAAGGAGCCACAGGTTGGATTCGAGCCCGTGCCACCCGCCTGGACGACCATGGCCTCCATACATGGGGTGCACGCACTAACCACTGCACCACCAGCGGCCCCATTTTTTTTTTTATATCTTCAGGCAATCAACAAACATTACAAAAACACCGACCAAACCAACCACCAAAAAATAGCACGATAATAGTCAATTTTAATATAATTTCCCCCAACAAGGACATATCACCACTGTAGGTGGAAGAAGAATTTCATGCAGTTCAACAATGAGTCATCAACACATTACTGATGTTGAGTTTGTTAATAAACTCATTCCATGTATTATCATTACACATGCAGCCTTAAAATAAATCTCTACCTGCATGGACATGGCAGGTTCCACCTGATAACAAAGTACATCAGAGAGGCTCATTAAAATGAACTTTATTTATTTATTAGCATTTGTTTTGTTAATAGGCTTTTCTAAATGCCAGAAACCCACCTTGTTTGGAGTGGCAGGGACCTGGGCTGCCACTGCTGCAGGCGATCCGCTGGGCTGAGGCATCACAGGAGCTCCTAGTGCACCCTGATGGGAGGACAGTGTAGCCTCACTTACATCACCGGACAGGGAGGACGACAGGCTCTCACGAGACGCCTGTTGATTGGATGCAGGAAAGTGAAGAAACAACATAGGAGCAAAGGGGAAATGACATGATGTTAAGTATTTAAATGTCACTAAACAGCAAATAATGGAAAACACCATTTCTCCGACAGGAAACATGCAACCGAGATATTACAAGTACAACAGTGATCATCCCATTTTATGTGCTGTGCTCAGGTTGGGATGAAATATAATGATTTTTACATTTTCATGCATTTTCCAGGACCAAACATTTCACCTCATGTTGTCCCACTAAATTCCCATACACATCACTTTGACAGTAATAATCTGCTAGAGCCCTTCACCTGTGAGCCAAAAAACAACAAATCCCCAGTTTTGAGGTACCAAACGAATCACCACTCCCTGTCAAGTGAAAGTTGAGGTACCCTGATTTTACAGAGCGTACCATGAGCGACAGACTGGAGCCGCCAGGTGGACGTACCAAAAGAGAAGGGAGGGAGGTGGCAGGTGTCAGACGACCTGGAGTGCTCCACTGGCACATTGTAATAATGAAGACATCGTGTTAGGACTCTCAAGTTGTTCAATTTTAGTTCAAAGTTAGCTTGACATTAGAGTTCAACAGGCATTTTAATTACAATATTATGACAAGTCTAAAATAATCTAATTAAAAAAAAACTCAAATGTTTTACCACGTTTTTGAGAGGAATGGAAAGTACAACATAAACACAGTTAGCGAGTGATTCTTTTTAGAAATTCCTTTTACGTACTTTCAACCTCAACAAACAACTAACACTAAAATTCTCCTGCAGCTCACTCCTCAGTACTTAAACTGTGCTGCCATCAGCTTTTAGAATGATTGTATGTTGTTTTGTCCCCCTCTGCTGGTCATAATGTATACATGTTGAACTGTTGCTTTCTTTCTACGGTGTGTGTGACCGGGGGTGATCGATGCCAGTCTAAATAAGGAGGCAGAAAGTGGCCTGCTGACTCTCTCTCCTGATGGTCACTTCTAATGTCTGTTCAAAGATAATGTTGGTTGATGATCTGGTATTTTGTTCAATGTGGTTAAGGGATTAGGCATTGTATATGCAGTTTATAGTAGCGGGTAAGTACCCGGTCTGAAGGCCCCTTTTGGGCTGGTTTGGGTGACTGATCCTTCCTTTTGTGTATTTGTTCTGATAACCAGACCATCAGCTTATTTCTGTTGTTCTCTTGGTTAAAATAAAGATTTAACCATGTTTGTTGATTACATTTGATTGTAAAAGTAAACCTCTTTCGTAATAAGATTTAATCTGACTGGTTGTTTTATGTTTGACTCCCTGGAAACAAGTCTTTAATTTAGGGGTCGTATGAGCACAAATGAGCATCCTGATCATCAGCCGTGACACAGAGGAGATTTACCGGCACCATGTTTACAGAGGAGGTAAAGTGAAGTTACATTTATTATTTACAGTTTGAGACTAAACTATATTTGACCTTAAAGTGCTGACAACACTGAAACAAAAGGTTGATACACAACCAGGGTGACCATTCGTCCTGATCTGAACAACCAAGCTCCGCCTCCTTGAGTCCACAAATATCTCTAAAACTGCTGATATGTCCCAGATTTTAAAAGTCCCTGTCCATATTTTAAGCACCCAAAATTCTGATTTGTCTGTATATAAGTCAACCAAGGGTGTTTCTTTTTTTAACCATTAAAAACATTATTAATGCACCACGAGTCAAAGTTCAATACTGATTTGTCTAAAGATGGGTCAATCAATCTCGAGAGAGTCAATGAATGTCTAATTTTCACATCAGATTACAGTCCACTTATATAAAGAGGCAAATCAACTATAAGAGCTCTACAAAAGAAAAATCATTACAGACTGACATAAAAAAATATAACAAGATTCTGTCAAAAGATTCATTCTCACATCACACTTCTTAAACTAATGAAGTCCCCATTGTCTTCTCAACTGTAGATAGTACCTGTATATATTTGAAATCACAAACACTGAAGCTGTGCCCGAGATTTGACTCATACAGAAGACTCAAAACATGTAGACTATATAACTTATGAAGTCATCCAAGTTGATCTGTCCTTTCTAGTTTAGACGAGCTCACCTTTGCAGAGCGGCGAGCAGAGGACTGGAGAAGAGGAAGTGGTGAGTTGCATAGAGGGATTGGCAGGCAGGCACACACACACACACACACACACACACACACACACACACACACACACACACACACACACACACACACACACACACACACACACACACACACACACACACACACACACACACACACACACACACACACACACACACACACACACACACACACACACACACACACACACACACACACACACACACACACACACACACACACACACACACACACACACACACACACACACACACACACACACACACACACACACACACACACACACACACACACACACACACACACACCAATAGCAAACCGAGATAAGAGATTAGCAGCAAATAAGACACATACTCAGTGTTAGTTCATATCCACTTAATAGCATAATAGCCGTAACAGCAGAATAAATGTGAGCTCATGCAGCCGAGTTCAATAAGTATTGTAACATATGGTCGTCAAGGCAAGAAAACAGATACCACTGGGATTATATTTAAACTGTAATATTTCTTGGTGTGTGCTGAATGCCTTCACCAAACTAAATAAAGAAAGTGGGGAAACAAACAGCTGGTGGAAAATATGGAGCTTCTTCAAAGGAACCGAAAGAAATAAGAGTGAATGACAACCATCAGTAACATGTGAAGCCACCATGTCCCATGCAAACATCCTACGTGTGAAGGGGGAACTGAAATATTATTGACAACAGCCAAAGCAAAAGAAAATGCGCTGAATCAAATTGTTTCTACCTTTTTAACATTCACAGGTGTCTGCAAAGATATAAAGAAAACACAAATATAAAGTCAAACCTAAAAAGGGAGAGGCGTGTGTTGAAATGCACTTAAAAAGAATTTAAAATATAGACAAGCCATATTTCTGAAAGCAAATGTATGCATTAAGATGGCAGGAATCAAACCATCTTTGAAGGGAAGTCATGTAAACAAAGTGTCCAAGGAATATAAGAAGGTGCAAATGGTGACCTACCTGCTTGGTTATCTTTGGAGTCTCTGGAATGTCTGGAGGAAACATGAAGAACTATTATTTACTGTTGGATTATTATTATGACATTTGAGGTGCTGTGTTTAAAAATGAATGAATGTACGTGTTGCTCACTCTAACCTCTTTGTCGAGGAATCTTTGTAATGCCTGACTCGGGAGTATCTGGAGAGGTGGCACCGGAGCTTTCTTCCACCACCTGGAGCTTTACAGAATTTAAAGGAAAATAGAGATTTGGTGGACAACGAAAACATCCTTGATTGTAACCATAAATGTAAAAAAGAATGACATATAAGAATACATAACAGTATTGACATTCATATAATGAAATTAAGTACAGAAGTCTGTTTTAATATACCGTATAAGAAATATTTTGCATTATTCATACTTATACATTTTTAAATTCTATTTTATATATTTGTAATTTATTCTTATATTTTATTATTTAAGTTCTTGTTCAGGAGAACCTTTGTCCCCACAGCCATCAGGCTTTATAACAGCTCATGACTGTATCTGTGGGTGGAGCGTCACTGTCTGCCTTTCTTCTTGTTTCTCTCCCTAACACCATTATAAAAAGCATTTAGAAATATAAAGACTTTTTAGTATTTTAACTATCTGTTTATATCCATGTAGTTTTAAATTAATATTTATGTTTTGTTTTCTCTGTCTGTTCTATTTTTTCTAACTTGTGAGTTATGGGACATTTCTGAATTTCCCCCAGAGGATGAATAAAGTATTTATCTATATATCTATGCTATATTTCCTTTGTTAACTGTTTTGCACCAATAAACCAAGACACATTCCTTGTATTGTGTAAATGTACGTGGCTATAAAACCCGATTCTAATTGTTTGTTTCCTTGCATAATATAAGGTAACTGGGAAAACGTTATGTACCGGTAACATAAATCATATTATAGGGTGAGTGTCTATTTACACTGAAAACCATGCACCTCAACCCACACTCAATCACTCCTGTCAATGAGAAAAATGAAGATAAATAACTGATGGGATCACACCACAGTAATTTGAGGCTATATGTCATCATCAAAATATCATAACCATTCATCTATATATTTACAACTCATGAATGTAACTTACCTGGGACTGTCTGACAAATATTCCATGATTTTCCTCACAGGTAAAGTAGCGTTTCCCTTGAACAGTGCCATCATTCTTGCCTTTGGGTTCATTGAGAATGACACCCACCCATTTCCCAGAGGCAAAAAGGGTAGCGCCAATATAGGCAACAGTACCACGCTGACCCTTCCCTATCACCTCTACTGCGGAGCCAATCTAGGAGAGGGTGAGACAAGAAAAGTAGACAATAATAAACATTATTCATAACTTAATGTTTTTTTTTTCTTGTTTTTCTTTTGTTTGTAAGACCATCTACCAACCTTTGGGGGTTTTCCACTTTCCACTGTTCCTGCACTACTCATTTTGCTGATCAGTGGGCTTGTCAGCTGAAAGATTGAGAGATAAGGATTGTTAAAAGTAGGGTCTATTAGAGGGAAAGAAACGAGGGACAGAAAAGATAATGCTATAATAATTAGCTCCTCAGTAATTATCTCTTTGTATGTCTCTGTCTTGGTCATGAAGGGAGTGGAAGTATATATGACATCAACATTTCATTATTTGCTTCCAAGTCTGCTCAAGACTCCAAAAACACTGAATTGTTAGATTTGTAACTTATAATTCTTACAAATAAAGATATTAGTACAGTCTTAGCTGCATGAGTTAAAAATGACAAAAGTCTTAAGGGCACAAAGCGAACAGACTCCTGCACCGAGTCATATGTTCTGGACCACAATGCACTTCTTTATAAAGTAGCCATATTCCAAACTTGGTCACACAAAGATGCTCATTCAAGAGAAACTAGGACTGCAGAAGAGTCTGATCCTTTTTGTGGAGCTGTAGGAACATGTGAATTCACACTGCCATAGGGCAGAAGAAATTATCTCTTTAAATACTTTATGATAGATGCTATATTATTGTCTTGCATTTATATTCAGAGATACAAAAAGAGGATATTTAAAAAAATGTCTAGATTATTTGTTACTAAAGTGGGGACAAAATCTTGCTCGTGGATTAAAAGAAGGACAGATACATTATCTTCTGTACTCTTGATCATAAGGTTACCACATTCTCCTTTGTTTTATCCGTAGGGTTAGGGTTAGACCAATCCTACATCCAGTTTATGGTGAGTTGGAAAAACATTAGTCTTTTATAGTTTGAAGCTATAATGCGACTTCTACTAACTCAGTAAATGAATCAATATCGTGTACAATAATATCTATTATTCAGCATTAAATGTCTGTAATACTTACCCGGGGAGTATAAGAATGTCGCCTGTTCAAAGCCATGGTAGTGAGTTCAGATTATTTCACCTCCAGTACAAGGATAAATCTCAAGCTAATGTTTTCATCTCCTATCACACTCCTTCCTCTTTTCCAGAGAAAGGAGAGGTTAATATAAGACCAAGATTGAAGGGAGGGTTCATCTGGTGGTGCATCACAAAACCTCACAACTTATTTGCACAAAGGGGAGGGGGGACAGCTATAACAGACACTTCACCGTTTCTATCGTTACGTTTTCTAAAATGTCTTCTAAATTGACATATTTACATACAAAATTTCTATAATGAAATGGTAAACACAAAACAAACACAATGTGAGACGGAGCTGAGTGTTGACACATCAAACATAATCAAGCTAGCTGTCGTCTGCTTTAACGTTTCAGCACAACTAGTTCAAGCTAACGTTGTGTTCAAGTTGATACAGACAGCCTTACACAACATATTATATATTAAACATTGTATTAACTTTTCCCTGCGCCTGTTTCAAAGTAGTTAAATCCAATATTAGAAACTTACCTAGCTAACAAACTTAGCATTACAGCTAACGCTTATCGCTTATTGTTTTGGTAGAAGCAAGTGCGAAAGAAAAGCAACCTTATTATAAGAAGCTTACATACAATAAGTATTTTATAATTTACTCACCTAGCATACACAGAGAACAATGTTTTTAAAAGAAGCTGTATGTTGTGGTCTTGCTAAAAGAGATCCTTCTTTATTCTTCCTTTAGGTGGCTTTGTGGCGTTTGATGACCAGCTTGAAAGTGCATTACCGCCACCTACTGGACAGGAGTCCATCTTTAATTACATACTTCATATATAATTCAACAAATCTGTTAAATTAAACAACACGTCGGGCATATTCATTCAGTATTATATTATTATTATTATTATTATTATTATTATTATTATTATTATTATTATTATTAGCCTAGATTTGACCTCTGGACTATATAGAAATATCATATTAAACCTCTTTAGGCTATAACACGCTTCAAGTAGGCTAATCCAATTATTATTGTTAATTATTATCTAATTTTGCACAATACCGTGTGAAAACAACCCTTGTTTATAGGAATAAAATGTGTTTTTCTTTCAATACAATAGATAATTTTGATTCAGGTTTAAGACATTTTGAAGCACACAGTGGTGCAAAACTAGTAACGATGACATTCTGCCTGCGTAAATAGACGGTTCGTTTTGTTCAGCGTGTCTCTGATGCACATCAACATGTAATAAGGTAATAAGCCAGAAATCAAAGCACTTTTGACCAATCAGGATGCGGAGCAGAGGCTGTGCCTGCACGGGCCGGCTGCTGTCACACACTCCGTGAACAAAGCTGCAGCCGTAGCAGACCTGCGGCGGTGACAGCAAGGTAACGACTGGACCGGGTCTATCTTTACTCTGTTATCTTCTGTAGAAACAAGGTAGAATGCTATTGGTAGCTTTTAATCTGATTTACACTCTCACTCCTGGAGAAGTTTCGCCGGGTGTTTCATTTGAATTCCTTCTAAAAGGATGACTCGAAGGCGGTAGGCTCCGCGCAACTTAATACAGTAAATCGTTATTCCGGTGTTATGAATTGTTTAGCCTACTTTTAAAATACTAACTAGAATACGGTGGACCATCTTGTTTTGTGATTCTGGTCTTCTACAGCTAACTGAACGACCCGCTGCCCTGTTACAGAAGAGTTGAACTCGATGATATGTTCGGTAGACTATTTGTTACCTGAGTGACTGTTTACCTGGTCCTGTTGGCTATTCTAACACTATAGAACAATGAAATATGTTTTTCTAAAGGAAGCAAAAAAATTAAAACTTCATCCAAATAGTTTATTTCCAACGGAGGGTGTGGAGTGGAGTGGAAGTGTGACGCGTTACGTCATTTATTTCTCTGTCCCACGTACGTTGCAAGAATTGCCTTCAACAAGTCGTTTGCATTCCGCTTGCCAAAACCTTTTTCCCATGGCATTTTACTTTCTCAAGTGCTTTTTTTTTTACATAATGGCAGTCTCACCAAGGCTGGCTATGTGTTTAGTGCTGTGCTTTGCGCAGTTTAAGAAAGTCCAGGTCGACTTCAATCTGCTGCAGACAAACAGAAAGTGATTTTTTCTGTAGGCCTAGTCCAAGTAGTTTGTATGTTGTCTGTGTAGCCTATAACCAACGGACGGTAATTGGTATCATCTGATCTTACAACCCTTTACTAAAACGGGTATAGTCTACATACAGGAGTGTTTCAGGTTGTGTTGTGTTCAGTCAATTCCAATAAATAGACGTCTTAGCCTAGGGCCTACCTATTAGATAAAACAGTGGAATGGTGATGACAGAAATAAATGTTGCACTAGTTAAAAAAGAATCAGACAATGACTATAGGCCACACACAAATAGGTTATATTCTTCTTATAGTCTGGACTGATAGGCCTGATAACACATCCAAATCTGAACCATTATTGAATGTCTGCGTCACCACTCAGTGAGATATCCCCCACAGTCTGAACATTGTCAGCAGTAGCAGTCACTTTAAGATTACTTCCTGCCTAAAATGTGTGGGAAGACATAAAATGCTTGATCTAATAATTTAGTTTGTAATAAAATGCTAACTCAAAAATGGTTTAATTGTTGTTTTCTGTTTCCTTGTTTAATTTTGTTCATTAAGACACTTTGAAAATGTTTACATCATTTACTTTATTTGACATGTCTGTTATGATCAATGGGTGTCTCTCTCTCTTTGTTGTTAATATCCTGACCTGATTGGTTACAGGTGAGGAACTTTTTTTTTGCTCCACTTTTCAATTCATGTGTTTAAAAATGTGTTTTGTTTCTTTGCTTTTTTTTTTTCATGGGTTTATTTTCAGATGGCTGATGTTGAGCTGGTGAAGAAGATGCTTCGAGCTGTCCTCCAGGCCAACAAAGGCGGAGTGTCATTGTCCCGTTTGAAATCAGAGTATAAGGAGCTGACCGGGGAGCACATACCACACAAACAGATGGGATACAACCACCTGGACACAATGCTAGCCAGCATGCCCTCTTTATTACGCATGGAGCGAAACACCTCTGGAGAGGTGTGTTTGTCTGAGAGGGATTTCATATCTATTTAGAAATTATTAAAACAGACATTTTCACCTGCAGCTCCAATTTGATCAATCTGAAAATCAACCAGCCAGAACGAAGTTACCTATACATCTTTCTCTTCCACTTTCTTCTCTTCTTTTTCCTTTCTCTCCTCTCCTCTAGACAGTGTGTTATGAGACAACACATTTAGCCAAGGTCGTGGCTCGTCAACGCAGCTCTAAGAAGACAGGGAGACCCCACGTCGTTAATACCCAGATGAGGGTCAAACCAGCGGCCCCGCTCGTCTTCAATGGTAAAAAAAACAACACTTTTTTGATGCATTTTAAGCTGTAACACAGTCAAACAGAAGTTTCATTTAGAATATAATTATTCTTATAAATGTATTATTATGTAAATGATTTTTAGCAGGCAAAGCTTCTGGTTTGTCACAAGACTTTTGTTGTTGTATCAAAACTGAAGAACATAATTCTGACCCACATCAGTTCATGAAAGGGTTAAAAAATGTTGGTACATGTGGTATTTCACTGTTTCTGTTTGAGATTCATAAAGTATACAGAAAAAGTGATAAAGATGTGGATGTTGGTTCTCTTGGGATAACCATTACATACTGGACAACAAGTGCAACAGCAGGGCAACATATGAAATGATATATACATTATGCAATGTATTTATGAACGATACAAATGCAAAGTCAATAATAATGACTGAAACACGCTGCAAATGAAAAAACAAACTGCAAACAGGTGAATTAATTACAATGATGTTAATAGTTCTGCAAATTCATAAATGCTGCATAATCAAAAACACAATATTGCAAATCCTTGCTGGTGGGGGCACTCAGTGGAACAGTTTATTTTTGACAGGATAGAGTGAATGACACAAGGGAGTTAATTCATCATTTAGAAGAGAAAAAGGCAAAGTTTGACAACAGAGAGTAATGTAAAAGTTACAGAGACTAAAAGATTTAAAGCATGTCTGGCCTGGATTCTGACACTGGGCATGAGAGAGAGCTGAGTGGAGGATTTTTAGTTTTTTTAATTTGTATATTTTATTTAATTCATCGACCAAACAATACAATTAAATACAAACATAAAATGTCAAATCTTATATAATGTGCCGCTCTTCCCTAACACATTAATTAATAAAACACATTCAAACTTGACAGGATCTGTAAGGACAGCCCGGGGAAGCCGCTGGCTAGCACAGTTTAAGTATCCTGAATTAAGTAAATGGTAAATGGACTTGAGCTTATGTAGTGATTTTCTAGTCTTCCAACTACTGAAAGTGCTTTTACACCACATGTCACACCCACCCATTTATACCCTTTCACACACTGATGGTAGTGATGATTGCTATGTAGTATCATCCATCAGAAGTAACTAATGCCATTAATGCACTGCCACTGAAGCAGCTGGAGCAATTCAGGGTTAAGTGTCTTGCCCAAGGACACATTGGACATGTTGCCCAGCTGGGGATTGAACCCTTGACCTTCTGGTTGAGAGGTGACAACTCTACCAACTGAGCCACAGCCATACAGCTGTACTTAAAGAAGTTGAAAAACAATTACACAAGCAGACAGATAAACCATTTTCAGGACTAAAGACATACATCATGTTTAAAGGTGTACAAAGGCATCAGCTCACATACTTAATGACTGTGTAATCAAACATTCATCTGATCTTAATAAACCTGTTTCTTATGTAAGTAGACTGAAGCGTAGCATAGCTGCACACATAGCTGCACACATAGCTGCACACACAAACACATCTGGAAAAACAAGATGCACACACCTCCACTAGACTATGATGCTGCAGAATATTCTTAGAGGGAGGTGGTGGTAGTGCATGGACAACAGAGGAGTGGCGGTTGGAAAGCAGAGGGATGGTGAAATAGAGGGGAGGGAGGAGTTAGACTGAGAGTGGGATGCTAAGATGAGGCTAACACAGTCTGTTGAGACTCATCTGCAGATGGAGACCAGTTGATTCACAAATCAACCTCTCCATTAGTCTCCTTTCCTCATGGTAATACTGGTTGCCATTGCCTCCCCAGGATATTGATATTCACGCTGAGACAGACCAGAAACTGTGTGTCCATGCTGGTGAGGTGACGCAGCAGCTACTATAGTGAGGGTGTCAAGTGCTTGTCCTAGCCTAGAGTGTGTTTGAATGTAGATCAAGCTTGTGCCTGCCTGTGTGGGACTGCACAGTTTTTGGAATGTGTGTTTGTCACAGAGTATTATTCATTTATAATATTACTGCTTGCAGCCCACTGCTAGTAGCATCTGCTGTGATATTTAAAAATCTTACTCTCCTACTGATGACTTTGGAAACACTGCTTGCTATGCCTGCTCACTTAAAAGATGATCTGACGTTCAGCAAGAACGGAGTTATTTGAAAAGCAGGAGGAGGTTGTAGAAAAATGGATGGAGAGGAAGTAGGACAAAGAAATGAAAAAGAAGAAGTCAATGAAATGGTTATTTACTGATCACTGCACTAAGAAGACATGTGTTGTTATGCATGTCATGCTGTGTTGACAGCAGTGATGTCACAATGAAGTGGTGACAGGCTTGAATTGTTGATGCTGTCGGGATCATTTTTTTTTACTGGTCATAAATTGACTGATTTTTCTCAAGTTCAACTTTTTGATTTGTGCTATCACATTGTTTCTACTTTGTGTAAAG